CGCAAAACGATAGGTCGGCTCATACCACCAGGCCTGCTAGAAGGTCGACAGTCGCAGTGCGATGACGGCCCTAGCACCCCCACGGAGGGAACGGAGAACCCGACGGGAAGACTGGAAAACAGCTTTTTCTCCACCTCGTCTACTGCCTCCGTGTCCAATCGTTTTGGTTCTTCCTGGAAGCCCTTTTGGACAACCCTCGTCACCATTGTGGGCTGGCGATCGGTGTTTATCATCTACTTTGAAGCCACTACGCGGAATCCTGTTCACCGACAGGATGTAAGTTTATCTGGCTTTTGGCTTTTTATGGCGAACATCTGCTAGTATAGTCTATCTTTCCATACCTGCCTTTCCTCATGCAAAGTGTATTCTGTTGTTGTGCGCACCTTTGTTGCGGTCACTTTTTTCGCGGAGAACCACACACTGCGAGGCCATACGACATGAAGTTGTCGAAACTCCCTACGGTAATGATTGCTCGATGGAGGCCCGTAACGAGGCCAAAATTGCTTACAGACAGAGTCCCTGTTATTTTGCGTTTCTGGACCGTGTTTACGACATTTCCTGAAGTTATCGCTGACAATCCTAATTGTGCTTGGGCGCCGGGGGCTATAAAGGCCATAGATAGCTGTTTGCGCCTGGGGCACGCTGTCTGTTTTATGATCACAATGTATGCATTCCCCTCTCCATCCACGTACTTTCATGCAACTGGACATCGCCAGGTTTGACTTCTTCTCATCCCTTAAAATACTTCTGTTCGGTGACAATGTCCCTGATTAATTTTCGTGCATTATAATTTGCAATTTTATGTCCTACATTTACTTCCACTAGCCCTGCAACTGTCGCTTCATTATCAGCGCAGTGTTCCTATCTGTCAGTGTGTCACAAGTTGTATCACATTTACGACTGGAGCAGCTGGCGAAAGCGTCACACCAGGAAAATTCGAATCCACCCTCTCGAAATACCAAAAGTTAACGACCAAACACGTTTTACCAAGTGGAGGTTGTTATGGCAGAAATGACAGCGTAGAAGATTACGAGTGACAATAGTGGAGATGGAGAGGATCATGGTGAAGAAGTACATGCTAGCAAGGTCTGGAGGTTTCGTCACTGCATACAGTAGGATGACGATAATTACGACCAGAAGGACTAATGTTAACGCGCGTAGCCGAAAAATAAATTAACATTATAAGGATAAGAACGAACCTAGGGATGTTACTGTCGTTGCTTTAAGTGGTAGCGTTCATACTGTTATTGTTAATAACGATGATGATGACTTAGATTTCTTTTTATAATTTCATTATGAATGTTTTATACAAAATACTTGTCAAATAGCAGGGATGAAGTAACCCGAATAAGTTTCTCTCTTGTCCAAGGTGAAGAGGGTCCTGCAACTTAAGGTTGATGAAACAGCGAATGTTTCCAAGATGAATGGAGTATTTTAAACGATGTAGGATATTCTCGCAGGGTTTGTCTGCATAAATCCATCTTCTGATAACTTTGGAACAAGTTCTTTTGGAAATTAATCAAGTTTATTACATAGGATACACCGCTATTAGCGTATACAGCGAATATTGAAGCGATCATAATAAAGGACATGGAAGTCCCTTCGTTTTTTTCCCACGTTGTATAATCCATGGCACTTACGAGGCTTGAATCCAATAGTGATGGATAAGGGAACCATATGAAATCTCGACACCTTTTAATAGGTCCAATTTTCACGCGCAGTTACTTGAATAAGTTTGCAATGTTACTTCACCTAAATGCGTATCTTGCAGCCAGCGCTATAAGCACTCAGGTGTTCGACTTATTTCATCTTAATGGCCTCCTTTCTTTGCGGTATTTGTCACGATTAGCCTCACTGCCCAAATCATATCCAGTTCATGCCAACTGCCTATACTCCGGTAAGGACATCGGGTAAACAAATGAGAAGTGCGTTTTTGCTGTCTCTGCCTCCTTGCCCCACAACATGTAGATCTTGCACTGAGGCAATTTGGAATTCTATAAAGCGAAGACAGGTTTCAGTCTCCTTCCGGTAGGAAGAAATACTGAGGCCGCCTGCGGGTGGTTGCTAATAATAAAAACCTACTTGCATCCACTCAGTTGTCCGATTTACAATTTGTTTCAATTTAGTTGTCAGGAGATCTCCCCAGTAGCTCGATTTATATCTTTTTTCAATCCCCTTGTCGCGCACAGATGGTCTCCAGTCACAGACCCTTCCTGGTACCTGCTGCAGCAAAATTAGCGTAGGTAGGCCTGTTACAAAAGCATGAAAAATTGGTGTTGCGGCTGTTACGCGACAACAACATGTAAAATTGGTGATAAATCTACCTACTCTAATTTTGCTACAGCAGCCATAAAGAAGTTTTTTCGTGGCAAGCGAATTGAAAAAAAGGTATAAATCGAGCTACTGGGTGGATCTTGTGATAACCAAGTTGAAACAGGGTGTAAATCGGGCTACTGAGTGGATACAAGTAGGTTTTTATTATTAGTACCCACCAGAACGCGGCCTCAGTATTTATGCCTACCCTCCTTTCTAATTAATCAGCCAAACCAGCCAATCTTTCTTTGTAATTGGTTTGCCTACATAAATGGTTGTTAGCTTGATACAACAAACATGATAGCATGTCGACGGACATACGGTTAAAGGCTT